TACCTAGCTCGTGGGACTACGCAAAATTTTGACAGCTTGTAAATATGTACACAAATAAAGTTGTTGGCAAAAAGCGTAGGTTAGTTGTCAGTTATAAAATAAATCCAATTTATTTGCGAATATTTGTTTATTCTTTTTATTGAAAGGCAACCNTTTTATTGAAAGGCAACCACTCGGAAAAGCTTGTGTTAATTATATTGATAACAGAACCTGGCAGCTCGCACGTTGTCTAAATTCTCAAGTAACATAAAGTCCACAAAAGAATAAGTACGCCATGTATAAATTTTAGCAATACACAAAAATAGAGCTTTCGCACGAGCGTTTGTTTGGTTTTTCAACGCCATTTATAATTTTCTTTTAATAAAATCACGATTTGACAAATACTTAAATTTATTTATCTAATAATAATACAGCACACAACCCTGAAATTCAAGGAAAAGTCTGAGGAAGGCCATTAAATAGCAGCACACAACCCCGTGCCTTCCTTGGGAGTGAATATAACTACAACACAACGACTACTACAACAACAACCCAAAAAGGTTGGTTACTGTCTATACTGTGGCCATGCCTATGGCAAAGTAATCTGGGTTGTAATCCATTCGTTCCGATATACCGCCTTCGAAGTTTTGTCGGAGTATTCGATTACGTAATGTGCATTTGCGTCGCTGGGCTGATTCTGCCTTTTCTTCTCTCTCTCTCTCTCTCTCTCTCTCTCTCTCTCTCTCACTCTCTCTTATCTCCAGAATAATGTTGCCAGATTCATAGTTTGAAATAAATTACCTTCTAGAAAAGATAACATTTTTTTTGGTTTAATTTCCGATTTGAACGAATAAATTTCTCTTTCGGGGTTTTTTAAGCCACTTTTTATGATAAAAGGTGACAATAGTGGAGCAGCATATTCTTATTTTAAACAAATGGTTTCAGCTGTCTTTAGCATTGCAGTCGCTACAGCAAATGACGAAAGAAGGTTTTGCCAAATGAATTTGAATAAAACAAGAAATAAAATAAAAATTCCACTACTCTCTGGTATTGTAGGAACTAAAGATTTCTTTAAAAAGTGCGACAGAAGGTGCTAAACTTAATGTACCGAATCAAACACTTTGGGTGTATGGAAAAGCTATGTTGCCTTCTACAAACACAAAATAAAATAAAAAACTTTTATTTTTTTACAAGATCACAACTGATTATGCTTTTAATGAATAGACAATATCGCAGCTTATTTAAAAATACCTAACTCTGTAATTAAAGAGTTTCTTCATGAAAATTAGGTCATTATGATCCAATCATGACAGGAGGGTTAAACGGTTTATGATTGAGCATAAGTGTGTCTTCGAAAATTGCAATAATTCACTGAGAAAAAGAAACGAAGAATATATTCGAAATAAACTGTCTAAACATATCCCAGAAATTTTGGTAAAGCTGTGTTTTGAATATAGAGTGATTTAAGGAAGAGCAACTTTTTTTTTTACTGAAGGCAAATTTGTTAACTTAAGCACTTTTGCTGGCAGAGCAGCCTTTTAAAATTTTTTTTTTTTTTTTTTTACAAAAAAAAACCCTGAAATGAAGTGTGTCAAAGGAAATAAGTGTTACATCGTGGTAGGTTGTTTTTACATATGGACGTACTATGTCCCCAGCTATGCATAATAAAACTTAAAGTATCGCCTAAGTGCATATTTTATTTACTCATACATACATACTTGTATATAATCGTATTCGTACTTTTATGTATTTGGAGCAGCGTTTGGCGTTAGTTGTTTTTTTGATTACTTAGTACTTGATTTATTGTACTTTATTTGTTTCTTCTCTTTTTCTGCATTTTATGTTCCGAAACTATACAAACTTTGATTGATTGAAACTGGCATACTAAAAACTAAACATAAACTACTACATATACTAAAAAAAAAAAAAAAAACAAAAATGTGTTGAACGCAACGCATAAATAAAACCAAATGTAAAATTAATGTAAGAAATCGCAAATCTTGAAGGAAAACGCACCTGCCAAGGATGTAAGTAGCTTGTAAATGATTTGCTAAAAAAAAACAATTGTCTTTTATGTCTACATACTGTCCATAGCTTATTATTTACCGTTTGTATATTTTATATAAATTTTTTTTTATTTCGCAAATTTCATTCATAATTGTAAAGCTAAAGGCACCACAAAACATTTCGCAATGAGCAAACAAACTCCGTAGATGCGTAGTGAGTGCATAGAAACTGAAAAGGAAAATAATTGTTGTTGCATTATTTTTTTGTAATTATTTAAAAAATTTTTCTTCCATTAGATTTTTGATATTTAGCTGGTAAAAACTGTTGAAAAATACGCACTTTTCTTTGCACAATTTGGCTGTTATGAGAAGTTTTTTGAAAAAAATAAAAAAATAAAAAAATTCGATGAAATGTGTCTACTTCATTTCTACTTTTCTAATACTTTCTTTTTCTTATCACAATTAAAAATAAAAATAACGATACCATTTATCCGTGTGTGTGTGTGTGTTTCAAAAGTAAAAATGTTGCAAATGATTTCTTTCAAAATTCGGGTGCTACTACTTTTCAGATACAAACTCAAAAGGTAGAACTTAAGGCACAAAGCAAAGTGGGCTCTTTGGATAACATTAAGCACAAGCCCGGTGGTGGTGAGAGAAAAATTTTTGACGATAAGGACTATTTGAAAAATATCGAGCATACTACTGCACTGACACCACCGACACAGGTAAACACCATGTGATTAACAAACGAACAAGCATACTTGTAATATTTTAGGAATTTTCTTGGAATTGAAAATGTAGTTAAAATAAATTTTTCTTTGCATTTAAGTTTCACCTACATACATATTTTAGTTCTTAATTTAATATAATTTGTGAAAAAATTTGTTAAAATATTTAAGTTTTTAGAAATTTTACGTTTCGTGGGTTTTGAAAATAGATACATACATAAGTATTTTTGTTATCAAAAGTAACACCACCAGACGATGGAGGAGGGGCGCAAAGGGATAGATGCAATCAAATTTTGCCTGATATTATTTTGCAAAGAAACTAACCGGTAATTTTGGGCTTTTTATTTTTAGAGATTTTCTTTGGGATTATTTTAGTACTTTTTGGAATGCTACGTGCTTTATTTTCCTGTATTGTTCGAACATTTCTTTTTTCATGATCGCTTCGCATTTTTTCAGTGGTTTTCGAGAGGATTTCTACATGCTTTATTTTGGATGACCATAGGGATTCTCTTCAGAAGTTATTTTCTTTAGGATTTTTTGTGTTTAATTTTTTGAATTTGTGTTAAATTTATTTGGAATACTTTCGAAATTTTTTCGGGATTCTGTAGCGACTTTTCGGAAGTCTTCGTTTTTTACTTTTCGATATTTCTAAGCACTTTTTCCTAGATTTGTTTTAATATTTTTAGGATGTTTTATTTTTGGTGTTTAAATTTTTTTTGGACCTCTCATGATTTTTGCGGGATTTGTTTGGACGTTTTCGTCACTCATGGAATTTTTAGGAATTCTTTATAGTACTTTCGGGAGCCTTCGTATTTTACTTTTCGACATTTTTCGAGAGCTCTTGGAATTTTTTCTATGACTTCTTTGAATATTTTTAGAACTTTTCGAAAATTCTCGGTACATTTTAAAATGCTTCGGGACGTTTATGAATTTTTCGATAGTTATCTTTGGGACCCTTTTAAAAGTTTCCGAAATCTTCGGATATTTTCAGGTAACATTCAGGTCCAAAACTATAACTAAACTGTGCTTTATATGATTGTCAAAAAAAATAAATTACCGGTTAATTTCTGTTCATAGAATATGTATCTGGCAAACTCTGCCTTTTATGTTTGCCTTAAAATATATGCATATGTACATATGTATATATATGTAAAAATTTGAAAATACTTGGCACTTCTTGCTTTTTTATTTTAAAATCCATATTTGGTCACTGTGTCTCCCTGCGCCTCTTCGCGTCACAGTCGTACGTACGCATTCACCTACTTTCTAATGTATCACATCAAAATTCGTGCACCCTGTAACGCATTAGTGGCTTGCTTTCGCCGTTCGCTCGACAACATTGCTCAGCTCAAATAATTTTCGAACATAGATACATAAATTTTTTGTAAAATTAAATGCATTTTCTGCGTATTTTTTTAGCAATTGTGAAACGCATTTAAAAATACTTAATTTCTAACGATTTCAGTTAAGAAGTAATCACATCTAATAAAATTAGGCAAGTAATTATTGATTAAGTAATAAGTTCGCACAGACACCCTTACGATATGCTCATAATCTAGTGCTATGTCCGCATGATGGCATAACTCACACCTATGAACATGAACACATACATACATTTGTACATACTAGTTACTTATGTAAGTTGCACTTAACTATTGGAAATATTAAAATCTAATAATTGGTTTATTGTCGAGTGGATTCATTTAGAAATTGCAGGCAAACAAGTAGCAAGAATACTTTTACCTCACCATACAAAAACGAAAAAAAAAAATTAAAAAAAAAATAGTAGAAGCACCCTAAAGCCGAATCTTACACACATACAAACATTTCGCATAAACATACAAAAAATATACCTACATTAAAAATAAATAAACTTAAAATGATTTGTTTATTAAAACTAATATTTAACTTTATAGTGTAAATTTACTGAACATTTTTCATAACTCTTCGGCAATAACGGTCTACTAACGCATTTGGTTTAACAAACGCCTAGTATAGCACTAAAATAGAAACAAAATGGAAAAATCCGTTGCCACATTAGACCAAAAACCTATCCGGAACTACTCAATAATGAATTGGTTTCTTTTTTTTATTTAATTACGCCTTTTTACTCCTTTTAAGTTATTACATTTTTCTCTTTTGTTAGCAATATTTAATTTGGTTACTTCGTATACAGGATGTTTATATATTTTTTTTGGTTTCAATCGGTCTATCTTACCTTTGGCGCCCGACTAATTTAAAAATTTAAAGTAATGCTTTTAGTAAATCGCGTAAATTAATTTTTATTTAGAAAATTAAGATACAAAAGTTTGATAAATAAAATTATAAAACATAGTTTAGGTTAGGTTAAGCGAGCAGCTCTGAAAATAGTTTACTCTGAGGCCACATAGGCTGAGTACGATGCTCAGAGGGTTTCACCATGCCTATCCCTAAATGTCTTCAAACCATCCTGATTCTCTGGTGAATCCTAGTAGACCCACCAATTGAGTTTTCCCTAAGCTGACTAGGCTCTATAAGAAGTAAGTAAATAGTTTGCCAGAAATTTGAGCCATTTTCTCCGGTGTTCAGGGTACTCGCAAAGAAAGTGTTAAACGTATTCCATCTCCTCTTCAGCTCCGCAACTTCTGCATCAATCGTTTTACGGTGCTCCGAACCTGACGGTCATGTAGCCAATGGCACAGTGTTCCCTAACTATTCCTGTGAGAAGGCTAACGTTTGGCTGTGAGAGCCTTAGCCCATTCCGTGCCTTTCGTTCATCGAGCCGTGGCAAGAGCGAGGACGATACCGCGCGGGTGTGCAGATTTTTTCGCCTGCTATTGGCGGCCGCTCTGGTCACTCGCTCAACATCCATAGGACTCTCATAGAGATGATTCCCAAGAGAAGACGCCAGGTCCTATCCCTATTTCCATTTTGGTGCCATCCGTGAAAATGAGGATTTCGTTTTCGTTTAGAATAATATTAAACTCTCAGTCACTACCGTCGGGCAAATGGATATCGAAGATCTGGCCGAAGTCAGTTTCCGTGATCTGATTAATTATAATATATTTCATATATGTATTATTAATTTATAAATATTTAGCGATAGAAATTTACAGAGCAATTCTGGAAACTATCTTTCATTTCACCACAGACAAAAGTCTTCCGTAAAATTAATTATTATTCTGATTACCTTTTTGCAAGAAATTTTCAAAAATTAAAAATTAAAAATATAGTAATTAAAAAGAAAGAAAAAACAATATTAAAACAGCACAAATATTCTAACAGAGTCACAAAACTTAGCACAACACTGTTGCGATTTCTAATGCGCCGCAAAATGTACCACAAAAATTCGATATTCGGTGCTAGAAAAATACATAAAAACTCAAGATTTTTTATTGTAGCGCATATCTGTTGCAGCGGCAAACTTTGAGGCGCAGTAGAAATCACAGCGGTGATGAGCTAAGGTGTGTGACTTTGTTAGAATACGGTTGTAAGATTGTCTTTGTCTGAAGAAAAATATTTTTTTTTCTAAATATGCGGCAAGTTTATGGATGCAAATCTGCGGTAATTTAATTCATTCCGGTTAAGTATGGAAACTTTTTATAAAGGAGTTTTCTGTGTTTATAAATTATTATTTTTTTAACAAATTACTAATTAAGTTATAAAAAACTATAAACAAATAATTATGGCCTTATTCATAAAAAATAAAGTAGCTTTATAAAAGGTTTATTAATTGAAAAATGTATGAAAACGTCAATTTATAAAGCTCTTTAAACCTACTTTATTTTTTATGAATAAGGCCATTAGTATTTAGGCTTAGGATTTAACGATCAATATCCTGTATACGAAGAAGTCCCACTTTTGCACAAACCTAATTCTAAATTCAATTTCAATTTTTCTTTTATCCCCAATTATTAGATCTGAATAATTTAATTATTTTATTATTTATTTCTTCTCATTAATGTTAAAATCCAAATATCAAGAATTCAGCTTAATTCAAACTGTTTAAATTTAAACACAATTTACTTCAATTCAATTTCAAAGAAATGCCAATTCGTTAACTTTACATAGCAGAAACCAACAACAACATCCCGTTCTTCTATTCTTTTTTTCTCTCTTTACTTTTATTTATAGTTCCCGCAGGGCCGTCTTATAGCCACCATCCACCTAGAATTTGGCCTTTGCAATTCTGACTGTGTGTGTAATGAAATATTTCAATCGCTCTTTAAATGAATTTACTGTTAACGCGCTTTGCCAAATGAAAAACAGCAGCAACATAAATTATATTTACTTACAATTCAAATATTTATTTACAAGCATATTCACATATTTATCTAAAAAGTTAAGCAAGCGAAAAGGAATTTAAAAAAAAAAAAACCAAAAAAATTTATTAAATTAAAAGCAATGCAACACGCGAAACAAAAACAAAAAAGCTTAACATAAAAAAAATGGCACAAAATTTTGCGCAAAATAGCAAAATCCGATTTTGTACCTTTAAAAATTATTTCACAAGAACGCTTAGCTCAGTAGCTCAACTACAAAACAAATTTCCACTCTTTTTATAAAATACAAAACAAATATTTATCTTTTATCGAATTAGAAAATAAAATTCAAAATCTATGTACACGACCCACAAAACACAAAAACTGGAAAACCAAGCACACAATTTGACTTACATACGTACATAGGTCGTTTTTAAGTAAGCTACTCGTACTTAAATTTCGAAATGAAAACCACATACTCACAGAGCGAAAACGGTTAACATAAACGTTAAATAGTATTGTACAAAAAAAGACAGACAAGAAGTATAGTCGTTGCCAAATTAAAATTTATTACACAAATATATAGACAAAAAGGACAATATTATGTTTGTTTGTTTGATTACAAACTATAAAATCCTAGCTATTTATACTTAACTTACTTAGGGTGCCCATTGAAAATGTATTTTTTTTTTTGGAAATTTCAAGACCCTATCCCCTCATTTTATTGGTTTTTATGAGAAATATTATTGCCTATTTTTATAGATTTTTTAAATGTCATTTAGAGGTCCTGACCTGACCTTAACTTGTCGATTTAGGTCAGAAAATAGGATTTTGTAGATTTATGAGTTTTTGAATGACGATTTCAAAGACTGAATATGTTCTGAGAATGAGATATATAGGCCTTTAAAATGACCTTTAGAAAATCTATAAAAATAGGCAAAAATATTTTTCATACAAGTGAAAAAAATTACGGGGCAGGGTCTTGAAATTTCCAAAAAAAATAAAACATTTTCGATGGACAACTTAATATGTATGTGCGTAGGCATGTATATTACTATAAACAATCCTACTTGAAGACATATATATGCACACAAATGCAAAGACCTGCACAAACACTTTTCTATACAACTAGTACTTTAGTAAGTATCTATGCATACCTGTAGGTGCATAAAAAAGGTTATAGTATTTTAATTTGTAGGCTAGTGAAATTCGTGAGAAACATACATACACTCACGGGAAAAAGTATTGGCATAGAGAACTTTTCGCAATATATCGACGGTACGTTGGAAAAACCTCGTATCTCAGAATAATTCAAAATAGGCCTTAAAATACTACGATTCATTATATATTATTCTTAATTAACCAAAAAGTACTTAATCTTTAATATGCAGTAAAAAATTTATTGAAAATGATTTTCTATTATTAATAGAGTTTTTCTGTCAGAAAATGTTGTTTGAAAGTGTTTCGAGAAACGAGGTTTTGCCAAAGTACCGTCGATACGCAACAATTTTTATTCAAATTTCTTATAAAAATATTGTCCATACTACAATAAAAAAAACATAGAAATATAAATTATAAACTTTTGTGAATTCAATAATTTTTCGTGCAAATTTTCTGCTTGTTATTGATTTTTTTTAGAAAATGCGAAACATCTTCAGCAAAAAAATTTTCAAAAGTCAACGACATTTTTAATAACTTTCAAAATTACATTTTTTTATATTAAACTTGAATGGGCTACAATTGGCCAATGCTTAGAAAAAATTCAAATAAAAATTGTAGCACATATTGTGAAAAATTCTCTGTGTCATTACTTTTTGCCGTGTGTGTACATACTCATATTTAAGAAAAAAAATTTATAAATGTTGATACAGTCAATCACTTGTTAAAATAACAAAACTTTCGCTGCAATTAAGGAACAACAACGAGTATATAAAAAACTGCGCTAATGGTGAGATGGGCTCTCTAAGCCATGATCCTTAAATTTAAGTTAACTAGTACGCAATCCTTTAGGTATTATCTTAAGAAATTGAATTTATTAGAAGTGAATTCGAACAATTGAGCAATTGAGCATTAACCCTCAGTGTAACCACTTGCTGGCCAATAACCAATTAATAAAATTTTTCTAATTATTTATTTATTTATTTTTTAAAGTTAATATTTTTCTAGTAAAAGTATTTTTCGTAAATGTGTTGACTTTTTGCTGGGCGAAATAAGCCATTAACAACATTGCCCGAAGCTATTGATAGCTTTGGCATGATAGGGAGCAGTGTTGCGCATTAAAAATATTTTTTCTACGAAAAAGCCTACATATGTACTCATAATCGAAACCAAAATTCTACCAAAAATTCAAGATCACTCCAATCGTTTGAAACAAAGCTGATTTTCAAAGAAAAAACCAGCCGCTCGCTCAATGGCGATAAAAAATTGTAAAAAAATTCGCTCGAAAAATGTTATAATGTGCCCAGTGCGACTAGAAGGGAACTCTTTTTGATTATGCCCTACAATTGATTTCACCCTCTACTACAAAAAGTGATTTAGTTCAATTAAAAAACCGACCAGAAATCATTAACAGAGAAAGTTTTGTGCTTCATTATAACAACGAGGAACCATCCAAAAATTAAGAGCGCTTTGTTAAGAAGGTTTGTTTCATTTGTTTCATATCTGTTACGGTGTCTATGAAATCATTTGAATCAATTTTCATCCCAAAAGTAAGCGAAGCTTTTCGAAGGAAGGTATAATGATCTTGCCTTTAAACTACCACAAGCTTTTTCTAAAATAAATGTTTCCCCTTCAGCTAAATTCCACACAATGCTGGTGCCAAAAGCTCAAGTGAACTTTTATATATAAATTATTGGTTTGGAAAGTTAAATGTTTTTGTATATTCCTTTACATAAATATGTTAGCCTTATTCGTCCAAAAACTCTCCTGGCAAAACTCTCAAAATGCCCTAACGGTTGTTTAATGTTGGGCTTAAGCCCTTCAGGCAATACGTTCTATAGAACCTTGTTTGCTATTTTAGGAAGGCTGACCCTGCGGTACAGTAGAGTTTAAGCTCGCTGTGTTTGTTATTACAGAAATTCGCACTCACCTCGAAACCGGTTGTATTATCGATTAAGTTTCTAAAATAATTATTAGTCGTTCTTCCTGTCCTGTTGGCCAGCATTTCAAGTTCCTCGCACTCACGTATTTCTCTCTCTCTATTTTTATTGCGAAAAATTTCTCTTGCTTCACTTTTCAACTCCTTATATCGATTCCACATAGATCACGGATGTGGAGTGACTCACTCAAATTCAACTTCTTATGCCCATCGAGTTCAGCTCTCAAGGAGCAGGGCGTCTTCTCCGTATCGCGATTCGAAAAGCAAATCATTCGGCTTCGAATACTTGGCACTATCATTTGTCCATGTCGCCTTTCAAATCGCAATACAGAGTACACCCCTGGTGTGACAGTTAGCCTTTCAGTCACTGCTGCATACTTTCAGCTCCCTCTAGCCAATAGGCCAGATGTATCTTTACTCTATGTCTCATGTATAGTACTTACTTCTGAGTGACCTGACACCCATAGTCAAACAAGTTCGTTATATTTTCCGACATGGAAGTAGTTAGAAGGCTGCTGGTTAATGCCTAATTACCCATCAATTAATCCTTTGTCTTGTGGATTGGTAATACGTTAGCTAGAAATACCGGGACATATTATACCAGCGTTAAATGAAGCCAGCACCCTCTTCTTTCGCTATAGATTAAAGATCCAGGCGTGGGAGCAAACAGTGAAGATCTAAAATTTGTAAGCTCACACTCAGTGTTAGGTCTAAGGCCGACTGTTCCTTCGCACTATATTAGGGGTCAATTGTCATTTCGTTACAATAACTTAGAGGGAAGGACAAGACCGGGCATAGGTATTAGAGAGTTAAGGTTGGCAAGTAGGGAATGAAGTACCAAGAACTAGTGCCCTGAGGTCAGCCACTATGAGCTCCGCACGTGAAGCATTATTTCTGGTGTAATTATTGAATCAGAAAAAAAAAATTGGAAAGGCATGCCTTATTATAAAACGGCTACGAAAAAAATTAGTATTGAAACGTTCGCCATGTATGTGAATAAATTCTGATTTGCTCGAGCTTAGACTTCTAAATTTGGTAATTCCTAATTTTCTCATGTAATAACGCTCCAGCTATGAGATATAGGTTTTTATTTTTTTATTTATTAAAATTTGTAAGCCCAATCTGGCATTGGTCAAGCAAATGGTTTAAAAATAACGTCCTAACGTCCTTACGTCTGTAGATAGCTTAAGATGTTAAACTATAAATTTATTTATGTAATAAAAAAGAAAATATATATCACAGATCGATAAGTTAACTATTTATATATTTATAGGAATATTTATATACGTTTTACTGAGTAGGAATTACTGAACTGATAGACCCTAACTATCATGAAAAACTGCATATATTTACTTACGCATCTACTAGAAAACGTCATTCAAGCAACTACCATCGTGTACCGTAAGTTCGAGCCACATATAGCCTTGGTTTTCCTCCTACCAAATAAATTAAACAAAATAATAAAAAAAATAAGTGTTTCAGACTGCAAATGACTAACTTTAATAACAGCCTTTTAGCGAGTTAACGACAAGAGCCGCTTGAAAAGCTCGAATAGAAATAGAAAAAAGTTACTAAACAATTTCCATTATTACAAATAACTGCATTTGAACATTTTGTACCTGCGATCCATGGACCCTCATTTGCCATATACATACATATGTAGATATGTACGTATAAACCTACATCCATACATATAAAATTTTTTACATATATACTTACAACTGTACATAGTATCATATATGTAAATTCTAAATCATCTTTAATGGGTACTCCAAACGTCAGCGATTAATTTTTTTATCGTTTTTAATATTATGCCAAAATTTTGTAATATACATACATACATAGGTATATACTCGTAATTCCTCATACAGTATTCCATGCTCCTTTGCTTCAACTCATTTCCTAATAATTTTCTAAATTTTATGCATTGCTCCTTGACAATTTTTTGGTGTTTTTTTTTTTTGTTTTTGATTTTTCCTTCTTTGTGTTATTAGCAAAAATTGTTCATAGTGAGTTTTAATGTTTAAACTTGAGGTGATAGTTTATGATTTGATATTTTTTTATTTGCATCATTTCTTCTTAAACGCAGAGTCCACAACCATCCATGACGACTTCAACAACTGGTGCCGATGAAAATTTAAATCAGCAGAGTTAAATTAATTAAACACAAAAATTAAAAATAAATAAAATAAAAACAAAAGCAAAATCAACAATTAAAAACAAAATTACAACATTACATATTTACAGAGTTATATACATAAGAGCAAAACAATACATACAAACATGCAAATGCAAAAATTAAAAATAAAAAACCCAAACCAACTTCAAGAAACCATTATTATCTATAATTAGCATTAATGCCATACGATTGAATATTTATTATAAACCCAAAACATTATGAAAAAATTCAAAATTCACAATTTACATACCTACATACAACAAATAAAAATTTACATACATGCATAAGAGCCAACACTGTAATTGTTGAAATTGTATTGTCACCAACCCACAAAAAAAATATATATATGTAAAACTGCTGTATCGTATTTATTATCAAAAATTCGGTGTGCATTTGAAATGTAGCAAACAATTTGCAATTAAATAATAATAAATCATTTTTCACAAATTTCACGTTTTTCACTTTTGAAAGAATTTAGAAAAATTTGAGTATTTTACACTATTAGTTGCAAGCAACATTGTATGTATTTTGAGTTTTTGGTGAGCTTTTTTGGGGTATTCGGGGAAAAAAAATAATTTTTTTTGCAAATATTCGCCAAAGCATACATACATACTACATACATATACATAATATGTATATAAGACCGTACTACCGTACAGCAAACAAGACAAAATTTCGCCTTTCATCTCTCAGTCTAAAGTATACATATTTGCAATTTAGATTTTTTGTCCGAACCTAGGAGACACATTTTACATTTGTCGCTGACACCTAATTCGGCAATAAATTTGTATTAACTAGTTGTACTGTTTTAATCAAAATACTTGCTTAGGAAAAATTTTATGATTTTTGGTGAGATTTAATTTATTGACATTAGGGTGGTATCTTGGTCTGATAAGAACCGAGATCAGGTGGGTAAGTACTAGAGCGGGCTGTTTGAGTTGAGTGAACATTGAAACAGACAAAATGTTCCTCTCGAGACAAGAACATCGAAATATCGTACTTTAAGAACCGACTTTAAATGCCGAAGATTTGACGAGACATTTAAAAAATTACCCCTAAGTTCGGCAAGAAAAGAAATTTAAATTGCCTTCGAATTAAATACTTATTTAGCAAAAGTTCAATGATTTTTGACGAGCTTTAATAAACATTAGGGGGGTAAGTTTAAGTGGTAGGAACTGAGATCTGGTGGGTAAGTACTAGAATGGGGTACTTGAGCACAATGAACATTAGATTAAAAAAATTGTCTCCTCGGGGAAAGCACATAGACAAATCATAAGTACGTTAAGATCATATATTTAATACTTCTATATTGGCAGTAACCTATCTGCGCAATGTGTTTGGATTCAGCAATCAAAGGGAGATAGATTTGAGACAAATGTACGTTTTGCAAATTTGACGTATCATCAGTAGCGTTAGAAAATAAATTTGAAGGGGATCGTTTTACTGTGGGGTGGTTATGCCCCCTTTGTTGACGATGTTTACTTATGCAAACTGAAACTTTATGATGAAGTATTAAGATTTTATTTTTTTAAATTAGACATACATGATTTTACTACAGATTCGGATTCTAAGCTTAAAAATACGTAACTTTCGTTTGAATATTTTTTCTCGGAAGTGCCTTTTTCAACCTCTAAATGACTTTCGAACTTCACCTCGTCCCTGGTTTAGGAGGTCAAATTTTTTCGGTTTTCAATCAAAACCATTCCCCTCCATTTCAGAGGCGGTGGAAAGGTGGTCTAGGAAACCCTGTATATTTTATGTAACACTTAAAATAAGTTTACCATCATTTCTTCCGTTTCCGCATCTATTAAGTTTTTTTCTCGCAAATGTCCAAGCAATTCTCCCAGACAAGTAACTCGTTTTTTTAAATAATTTTTTTTGTTACGAAGCGTTTTGATTATTTTAATTTTCTTATCGAAAGACCGTTTAACGAACGATATAATGCGGCTGGCACGTTTTGGGGTGGAAACGTCAGGAGTACGAATTTCTGAAACAAAACGAGGTTCAGCAAAGCGCCTTCTGTTTACAGGCGAGGTTTCTGTAATGTCCGAACTTTTACTTTCTCGCCCTTCTAAAAAAATTGTTGAAATGAATATGTATAGCTGTAGCAGAACAATTCTTTAAATTTACCAGTGGCCGGCACATTTTGTATACTTGCAATTGTAGCATGCATCGAAGGAATCGCATTTCTTTTCAAACATTTTCTGCCAACCTCATTGTTCTTTGTCTTGTAATCGTTTGGTTTGAAATGGTTGCTGCAGATTCGGACATTTTTAACAACTTCGTTGGGCATCAGGCCGCATGCCTGCATCCATTGTTTGCAAACGGTTACGTCTTTTGGAAATCTGTATAAAACAAAGCTGTTAAAGATGTTTTTGATAGAAACTTTTGCAACGCACCCATGTAAAGCTATATTATTTAATTTATCTCTTCTTTTTTCACATAAAAAGCAGCTGTGCGACATTTTTGCAGTTTAACTTATTGAAAAATTCTTAAAATTTAATGAAAACACAAAATTTTCTGTAATTTTTTTTAACGTTCCGCCTCTGCGATTTATTTTGAATTCAAGTGTCATTTCTTAAATGCGATTACTCGGTTTTCTTTTTCTTTTTTTATATATCTGTACTGTAATGTTTGCTGACTGCACTTGTAGATACTGCCAATATAGAAGTATTACATATATGGTTAAGATACAACTGTGAATGACAAAGATATGACGAAAAATGTAAAAAGGCGATTCCTACGTTCGACCAAAAAAAAAAAAATAATGTTTCGAAATTGCCGTGCAAAAATATTTTCGATTCGAAGGTGCATACATACATACATGTATATGTAATATGTAATGAAAACATTCAGCTGTACATATTTATCGAACAAACATAAAATATACATTTATATTTCAGTGTTACCATATTAAATAAAACACGTACTATAAGGCGCATCAGTGTCCATGGAGAAAAAATCGTTGCTGTTTTACATCGGATTTATAAAATGTGTTATATTTTAAGGCTTTCACCATTACATTTCGGAAAAATTTTAAGATTTACCGATTTGAAAATACCTTCAAAAATGTGATTATTTTGATTCCGTTGATTAAGGGCCAATTTCACAATGCGTAGTTAACTCAGAATCGGGAGTTAACTACAGAATTTTGTACTGAAAATCTCAAGTTAACTGTCGATTCTGAGTTAACTACGCACTGTGAAATTGGCCCTAAATGTTTAGACATTTTTCTGCTTAACCTCTTCTAACATCTGAGGTGGTTTTCTGGAAAACAATACGTTTAAAAACTTAATTTTTCGAAGTATTTTCTACTCGATTCAGCTCTCGTAAATCTTAGTTCTTTTCCGCAAAACAAACAAACACTTCCACTTTTTTGGTGAGGCACGCACCCTAATGTAAATGCACACATACATATATCTCTCTAGTAGATTTATAGTATTTTTTTCAGTTGAAAATAAACCACGTCGTTCGAGACCAAATAAGGTTTTAGAAAAGGCGATGCACTATCGCCAGACTTTTTCAATTTGATGCTGGAAATCGTAGTAAGAAGCTGCCGATCTGAAGATCGAAAATCGAATGCAACTCACAATAATGGTCAAAGTACTTCCTGGTAACACATAAAAAGTCTTTGCGTATTTAGATACACACCACTGTTGACAGTTATAACTTTGAAGTAGTGAAGCATATCAATAACGTCGACCTGGAGATTAAGCGGAGTACAAATCTCACCGACAGGTGCTACTTTGGGCACAGTAGGCAATTTCAAAGCCACAAAAAGAACGCTTTACAAATCTCTCAACATGACAGTCTTTTTATATGGCGCAGAAACGTGGACGATGTCGAACAAAGATGAGAAGGCTTTTGGAGGCTCTCAAGAGAACCATTGTATGCAAGATGTATGGCCCTGTTTGCGCGGGTGCTGAATACTGAGGAAGATGGAATGACGAGCTGTATGAACTTTTTGAAAACATGGACTTAGTTAAGCGCATAAAAATATATCGATTACGCTGGCTTGGGCATGTCGTACGCATGGATGATAAAACTCCAGTGAGAAGATCCTTCGACTCAAGTGCAGAAAGACCTGTCTGCACGTGGGATGAAGCACTGGCGCAAATTCGCAAAAGAGACAGGCGATTGGCAAAATTGTTTGGTCTCAGTCCAAACCGACAAACTGTTGTAGTGCCAAATAAGAAGAAAAAGGGATCCTGCTACCTAAAAGATAATTTTTATCCACAAATAGAGCACCCAGCCCGGAATGACCAACATGGCTTCGGCTTCTCCAATAAGTGTATCCTGAAAATACTGTAGTAGTTAAATTTCTAAAACTAAGGAATTCGACTACACGGCTGTTGTACAGATCTGGGATGACCACTTCACTGCCTAAGAAAATAGCTAAATTAAAAAAAAAAGTTTGGTGCCAGGATTAAAAATAACATCACTCCCTCTGTCATCCATTTCTGAGCCATCTAAGTACCAACGTGCGTATTTCTGATGATATCGCAATCAATAGCCGGGAGCCTATTGGTAAACATTTGGAAAAATTTCAAGAAAAGGAGGCTGGTTCAGTGGCAGATATTCTAAGTCCTGTTGATGATATTTTTGCTTGTGGCACGAAATGTCTTAAAGTATCAACGCTTTCAAGACTTTAAGAAGCGGTTATTTGAATGACGTAGTCTTTCACGCAGTGCCAAGGTCCTAACTCTACAAGGCAAAAAGACAAATCTCATAACAACTCAGTCTGAATAATACGGTGCTTTAATTGAAAGTAACAATCGTCTGGTGTGAACGCCCTTTTAACTAATCGCTTTAAATGAAGATGGGAAGCAGCCAACTTTTGATTCAACTAATCGCCTCTAAAATCGCCAGCTATATCGCCACATGTAGACACGGTATAATGGAACTAAATGTGTTTTATTTTGCGTTTACTTTCAAAACCGCAAACAAAACTAAAACACCTCTATGGTGCTATTTTGTTTGTATGTATTTTTGTTATCACGAATTTCCACTAGGCATGGAAATTTCAGAAATCGTTGCACGCGGAAGCGAACTCAATGGCAACTTGTACGAATTTAATTAAGCGAGTGTTTTTTTAATATGCAAACATCAACATTTTTGTCATTTAATGCACAGTGAAAATACAGTATTAATAGTTCTATGGAAATAGGATTTTTTTCGATTTCTAAAATATTAACACTTTTATCATAAAGGCTGTCTTCTTAAACGCATTTATGCAAAGCATCAGGGTTCTTTTATTTCCAAATCAGGACAATATGCACAACCATGAAGAAATAAAATTTTTTTACAGTCAATTCTGGCATCCGCCTCTCAACGCACCA